CGACCCCCCCGCCGCCCCCCCCCCCCCCCCCCAAGCCCCAGGGATCTCCAGGATGGGATGCAGGGAGTGGTGGGTGGGAAGAGCGAAGGAATCCTTGCACAAGCCTGGTCTCCCAGGAAGATTTTTCAGGGAAGCTGAGCTCCTTTTGTCCAGGGATGGCTCCTCTGTGCCAGGCAGGGATGGCAGGAATCCATCCCAGAGACACAGGCTGCTCCTTGTCCTGCTGCTGGCCACAACCTCTCTGCCCCATTTCCCGCGCAGAAATCAGGGATAATTCCATCCCATCCCCAGGAACACAGGGAGGCCCTTCAGGCCCAGCCTCTGCCCTGGCACCTGAGCTCCCTGAGCTTTGGAGCAGGAGGATTCCTCATGGCATCGCTCCAGGGTTAAAATATAACCTGGAAGCAGAATTCCAGCCTGATCCAGATCATTATCAGGGAGCAACATCTGAGACTGAAGGAGAAAGGGCTCATTAGGGTGACACTAATTCTCCCTCCCTGCCCTGCCAGAGGCACGGGAAGGAGATTAAAGTTTTTGCTTAGGGAGAGGAAAACCTCAATAAACCCTGTGGAGCAATCCTGGGAAATGTGTCCCTGCCAGTTTTACTTCCTTGGATCACAGAAAGGGAAGTTCCTGAGCCCAGTTGGTGTGTGGGGATCATGGTTCTCTGCTGGAATTATGGGTGTGGATGTAGCTCTCCAGCTCTAAAATGTCATTTAATGTGGAAAACACAGCGACCAACCCTGCCAGCAGCACAGCTTTGGTCTCTTTCCAAGGAAATAAAGGTGTGATAATTCCGTGGTTTCTCCCAGAGAGCAAGAGGGGGAGATGTAAGCAATTCTTGGTTTGAATTTTGTGTTGTTGGAAGGGTTTTATGATCTCAGCTTTCCTCAGGTTGAGTTTCCCAGCCAGGACACCCCAGGACAGCAGCTGGGTGTCACCTCCAGCTCTCCCACATCCTGGAAAAGTGTTTTTCCAAGGGCAGGAGACGCTGCCAGGTCCCCAAAACCAATCAGGAGCGAGTCCCATGCGTGACAATATCATTTATTGTTATTTTCTCCAGCAGTTCCGTGTTCCCCCGAGGAACAGAGAATTCCCAGCACAAATAAGGGAAGGAAGAAGGAGAACAGCTTGTGCTGCCCCCAGCACCTCTCCAGGTACCCAGCATGTGACCACACCTGGATTCTCTCACCTCGTGTGTGTTCATTTCCAAACCTGACACTTTATTTTCCTGCTTTTTCCAGGCTTTGAGGATGATTTTCCTCCTTCCCAAGGCCCATGCAGCAATAAATTGCCCTGCATTATCATGGGAATGGTAAACCTTGATTTGAGTTCATGTACCACCTCCTTCCCTGCAAGGTCGAATTCCAAATAATCCTTTGGAGAGGAATGAAATAAAGTCGGGGCTGCTCCCTGGGCTACAAAGACTTTGCCTCCTTCTCCTAGAGAGCACCAAATTCACCTGGTTTGGGACGTTTTCATGATGGGACAAAGAAATCACATAAAATATGAGGGAACAGAAGCATTTTTGGGGAGCAGGGATGTGAGGGGAGCTCGTTCCTCCCCTCACACAAGGAGTGGGATCTGCAGGGAGGGATGGGGATGCTGTGAATCTGTCTTCTCAGAAGAAAGGAAGGGCAGGAAGTTATCCTAAACCCTTCTGGAGGTTTTTTTCCCCCCAGTGAGGCACACAGGAGGGGACAGAGGGCTCCTGAGATACCCTAAATAAGCCCCGTTCCAGGCAGCTCCCCTGGATCAGCAGCACAGGAGCTGAGCACAGCCCCTTTGTGCTTTGGGGACAGTTTGGGGGCTGCTTTGGGGACCCTGCAGAGAAATCAGCCCCTTTGCCCATGGAATCTCCAGGTCTGATTGCACCTCCCCCTGCTTCACCAGGGGGTGATTGCACGAGGGTCCCGGTGCTGTTATGAGGGTCCCCGTCCTTTCATGAGGGCTGGCCGCGAGCTTTGGGGGGCTCACCCGTTCTCATTAGGGCTGTGAGCCTGCACAGGACATCCAGAGGTGACACCCCGGCAGTCCCAACCGTGCCACCATTATTAAAAACCCCTCCAACAACAGGAATTGCTAAATCTCCCGTTCCTTCCCCCCTCAGCTTTCCCCGTGGCGTGAACCACGGGGTTACCACACCTTTCTTGGCTCCAGCAGACACAGAGGTTTGCCGGTGCCTCGGTGTGACACCGTGCCTCGCTTCAGGTGACAGTTGAAAGCTCCGCGGCCGCGCCCCCCTCAGCGGCGGTTCCACAGCAACACCCGCCCCTCAGTGCTACGCCCCGCCCACCCGCCACTACAGCCAATCACAGCCCATCGCCGCGCCCCTTCTCTCCTTTTATCGGTTGATATTATTGCCCATCATTTTCCCGCCCGGTGATGTCACAAATGCGCCCCGCGCTGATTGGTGCGGCGGGGTGGGCGTGGCGAGCGCGGCTTTAAATGAGGCTGAGGCGGCTCGCGGTCCCAGTGCCCCCCCCCCCCCCCCCCCCCCCCCCCCC